ACGAGATTGATCTGACCAGTGGGGTATTAGATAGTTGAACTTTCAGACCATTGATTCAACTAAAAGATTTTACATTGTTGAATAACTTGTGGAATGTTTTCTCTTAGGGCAGAGAGGTTCATTTTCCTCGTTGTAAATATAAGTCATACTGTAGGCCATCTGAGCAATACTGAGCTTATAGGTTAAACGGGAAACAGGAAGTGCTCAGGAACATTGAGGTGCTTGCATGGGGGTTTTGGGCAAGAAGCTGGAGAAGTATGTGCATGTCTTACTTCGTTCATTCATTCATTCAGCCAACCCATGTTTATTGACCACCCTGTGCCTGCCCTGTCCTAGGCAGCTGGGACACAGCAGGGAACAAAAACAGACCCGTCCTCTGGCTAGCAGGCGGATTTAGAGGAAGAGAGAGAAAAACTGTTCTCTTGATGGGCAACATAATGTTAGTCACTTTAGGAAATGTGAATGATTTGGGAGCGGGGGCGGGGGGGGGCGTTGAAATGTACCTCAGGCTGACAGGTTACTGAACCAAATAGCAATTTGAAAAGTGGTAACAGAATCAATTTTGGCAAGTCATATCATGCTGAACCTGGGGTTTGAGATATTTTTAAATGAATATGTTGAAACCTCTAAATATTCAAATGTGATTGCTTTAGGAAAAGGGGTTATTTGTGTTGACTGAAACCAGGAAGGAGGAAAGAAAACCAGCCACTAACTGCATGTTTATGTTAACAATGATAAAATCAGATTGTTAACCCAAACGCATTTCCCTCAGTAGCGTTCAACAAATATTAACATCAAGATCTAGAGTAATGGCAAATGTTATGTGAACATTTTTTTCAGATTTGGTTTAAAAGAGCAGTTGTTGACTTCCTTTTAGGACTCCCCTGGGACACACGCTTTGCACCTACGAAGGAGCTGGATGAGCCTCGGCTGACTGCATCCCATGCGCTGTTCACTGTCCCTTGAAGCTAGCATTTCATTAAAATTCACAGTGGCTTCTTTGTCTCAGCAAAATGTACTTTAAATCGTAACAAGTATCCAGTCCCTCTGCACACTTCAGTATAGGCCTGTGTATTTTAAAAAGTATATAATTGGGGCTTCCCTGGTGGTGCAGTGGTTGAGAGTCCGCCTGCCGATGCAGGGGACACAGGTTCGTGCCCCGGTCCGGGAAGATCCCACATGCCGCGGAGTGGCTGGGCCCGTGAGCCATGGCCGCTGAGCCTGCGCGTCCGGAGCCTGTGCTGCGCAACGGGAGAGGCCACGGCAGTGAGAGGCCTGCGTACCGCAAAAAAAAAAAAAAAAAAAAAAGTATATAATTGACGAAATGGGTACAAATACATGTCCTCTGACTTTGACCATTTACCTCTGTTATATAGTTATTGCCTTTCACATTGCTCTTCTTTTTTTTGCCCCTTCTCTCCTAGTTTTACTGAAATTCTCTCTGTGCCACCTATTGTTTGGTGGCACTTAGAAGTAAAGTGCTGATGACTTCCTAGCTGTGGCACTGATGAGGTCTGTGGTCTCTCAAGTGTCACTCCGAGATGGCATCTGCCAGTCCTTCCCCTCTCCGTGAGGGTGGGAGGGCAGGTGTATGTTTCGAGGGTAGTTGCTGAGTGTATCCTTTTGTTCCAAAGTGTAGGACCCACAGCTAGATCCTTTAATGTATGAGGAAGCAGCACAGTAGTTGTTGTCCTATCTGTCATGTAATCTAGAATCACTGGAATAGCACAGAAGCCATTTATTTGTAATTTTTTTGTAGTCATGCACTCTGTTTTCATAAATAGCTCTTCAGGGCATGGAACAGAATCTGCCATTTGATCTGAGGACATTTCATGGCTGAGTTCTTGCTTTTTATTGAAAGTTACGTGATATATTTAATCTAGCTTTAGTATGTGTACAGGCTTCCGCAGTCCTTTGCCTGTTGGGTGTGTCTTTTAAAAATGGAAACGAGGTTAAACAGTAGTTAGGTGAGCGCCTAATAATAGCCACAAACTCAGTTTCTTTGTGTTGTTAGTTTTATGTTTCTTTCTTTCATTGTTTGTTTCTCTATTTTCTTTTATGTTTTAGACGTTTTCATTGTCAATTTTAATAAAATCAGCATCTCTTTTTTTCTGTGCCATATTCAACAAAAATATTACGGTAAAACTATTTAGAATTTATATTCTAGTCTGTGTTCAGACATGTATGTATATCATAATAGAAGTTAAACACATTTTCCCACCAATTTAGCCATTGATTCATGTGCCTTTCTTCTTCTGGAAAAACTGTTGAGTGTCACTTAATTTAGGGGAGATTGTCATTGTTTTGTTTTCTTCACTTTGTTTTCATATCAGTATGATATTCTTCCGGTGGGGTGACCTGGAACATGGCAGCTCTAAATAGCATCATTCACTCCATCAAGGTTATTAATAAACAGATGTAGTTCAGAGTCGGTGGGAATTGTCAAGAATGCTTTGGAATTCCGTAAGTCACACAGGCCTCTCTTGAGGTCCCCGAACTAGAATGGGGACATTCTCCTTGTTGAGGGCTGTGTGAGACGCGGCTCCTGCTTCTGCAGTGTGGGAATCCAGGACCTCAGTGGTAGTGGCAGCTCTCTGAGGGCTCTGCTGTGTCCCGGCCGGGGCACGTGTGCGCACGGCTCTGGGGGGATGGTGGGAAGCGTGCGTTTTCTTGTCTGGTGGCAGTGGAAGGGGATCCTCTTTTCAAATCCCGGTAGATGGGGGTCCACAGCTATGGCTTCCTCCTTCCTAGTATTCTGTTATTTGATCTGCCTCCTCATTGCCTGGGTCCGTTCGTGCTGCTTACAGAACTTTCCATCGGGTGCCTTGCTCTCTAGGTGTTCGTGAGCTTGTCTCTGCAAAGGCCGCTGTGGTGCCTGATTCCTCTTTGCATTTGCCCTGCTGCCATCCATGTCCGCCTCAGTTGGAACTGGGATGTCATCAGTCTTTGTAGACACATGCGGTGAATTACCCAATGACAGGCTATGAACTGCTGAGATGACACTGCATCCATTCAAGAGTTTTGAAGGAACCTTAAGGATGAAATTGCAGAGCCCTTGGCTCTTGTTTTGCCATTTATAAATAGCCACTGTTCTAAAAGCTTGGTGGGTTGGCAGCACAAGGCATGGTATATTGGAAAGCAAAATGGCCTGGTGATCTGGAGGCCTGCGTTCTGTGTTGAGCCATTTCACAACCAGTTGGGTAGTGCCGCTAAGCCCTTGGACCTCAGGGTCCTCGTCAGGATGTGTTTGCTGTGGTCTTTGCACAGAAGTCTCTGGTGATCGTCAGAGTCGTGGTTAGATCCTGTTAAACTGGGTTCTTTGTACACGTGTAGGTATTCTGTGGACAGGATTGTTATTAATCCACTCATTCTTTGTTTCTGTGAATGATACATTGCAGAGACTAGATTCTGCTGGATTCCTCCAAAATGTGCTGGTTTTGTTGCTGTTTGGGTGCTTGTTTCAGCAGGCTGGACCCTGCAGCGGGCAGCCACTCCAGCCTCGGGTCAGGTCCTTAGCCTTAGCTTGGAGCTGGGGCTGCTTGGAGCTTGCCCTGAACATGCAAGCTCGGGGGACAGCCAGAGGTTTGGGCCAAGTTTATGTACAGAATTTGGGTCTCCCCTTCTCTTTTGCACGGTTTCTTGCCGTGATTACAGCTGCTGAGGTTGCCCTGAGCTGTGTCCCGACTTGTTTTAGCAGCTCCAGGTGGCTTAGGCTGGGCCCTGCCCTCAGGCTGAAAGCCGTTATAAAGTCACTTCCTTTTTCCTGGTGGCTCTCCCTGCTTTTGGTCACTGTCCTGTGCCTTGAGACAGTCGGTTTTTGTAGGTTTAATCTGTGGCAGGGCTGGTCCGCAGGAACTGCTCAGGCTCAGAAGCGGAAGCTCCAGTCACGTACCTAGAGCACTTTTTTTGCTGCTAATCCCAGGTCTGTGCCTTGCATTGGTTATTTGTTACCAAACTCACATTTTTGGATCCTTTCCTTGTACTATTTTGGCAAAAACAAACAGGAAAATAGGGATGGGGCAGCTCTCTTTAATTCTTTCTAGATATTGCTCAGCCGTGAACGATAGTTACTTGTTTTGATGAGTATGGCCAACATCCTGAACCTGGACTTCCCCTGGTAGAGACCTCCAAGAGAAAAATGCCGAGGCGTTATTACCAGTATGAACATTTCTGACCCCAGAGTCCCATGTGGGCATTCGCCCTGGAGAGCTGGGCCGGTCGTGTTTGGGCTGCCAGAGTTCCCTTTGCGGAGATGGGTACTGGCCTGGCCTGAAGTGCCCGCTGCGTGCTTCCTTGCCACACTATTTCCACTGGGCCTTCTACGATGTTCGGGGCGTGGGGAGAGTTGGTTTGATGTGAGGAGAGGGACCTGGGCCACCCAGTGAAGCGGGTGACACCAGGCCATCTTACACGTTCGCCAGTGACATTCCTCCAGGGGCGCCTGCCCCAGAAAGCCTGGAAGGACAGCGCCAAGTGGGAGCTGTGGCCAGTCCCCAGCTGTTTATAATCCTGCTCTCCTCCCTGACGCTGTTTATGTTTAACTGGATTCGGAGATAGGATGAGGCTCTGAGCTCCCCCTAGAGGTTTTAGTGTGCCATGAATCGCAGTTTTAAAACAACCATGTTGCTGCTTTATTTGCCAGTGTTTATGTTAAATCTGTGGAATTAAAATGAAGATTTTTGAAACAATCTGGACTGATTTCATATCCCGTCTTTTTGGGACCAAACCTTTCTTTAAAACCAGAAATGATCGAGAGCCTGCTTGGTATGGGAGCCTCTGGGTCTGGGTCTGCAAATCATTCTTCCACATTGAAATAGAAGGTAATCCTGTGATCAGAGACTTTCCTTCATAGAATTCAGATGATTTCAAATGATGATATTTCTCAAGTTGATTTAATGGGTGTGAAGAAAGCAGCTGTGTTGGCATTGAGATTGGGTGGTTAGGAAATTAAATGACTCTCAAGCAACCCGGTAATTTTATTTTCTCCTTATGTATTTCAGGTTTTCGAAAAAACGATGAAATGAAAGCTATGGATGTTTTGCCAATTTTAAAGGAAAAAGTTGCATACCTTTCAGGTAAAGTTTAACTTTCTAATCTGCTCTTTTGTTCCTTCTGAGTGCTTTGATACAGAGTCTGGAATACTAAACTATACACTAGCGCACCTGTCACAACGTAAAAGCATTGGCATTTCGATGGATTTTTAACTGCTTTATTCTTGTAGTGTGGTCCTGAGAAATGAGTGCCCAAAGGGTTTTCTTCTAGCTGGCAGGCACATCATAGGTCAGATAGCATCGGTGATTAAAATATGTTCGTGTCTGTCATTCAACAAACATTTGACAGTTAAGTAAAAAAACTGATTTTTTAAAAATTAGAGTATAATTGCTTTACAATGTTGTGTTAGTTTCTGCTGTACAGTGAAGTGAATCAGCTACACGTGTACATCCCCCCCCCCCCCCCGCATCCCACCCGCCTGGGTCATCACAGAGCACCGAGCTGAGCTCCCTGTGCTGTGCCACAGGTTCCCACTAGCTATCGATTTTACACACGGTAGTGTATATATGTCAAACCTAATCTCCCAGTTCATCCCGCCCTCCTCTTTCCCCCATGTCCACACGTCCGTTCTCTACGTCTGCATTTCTGTTCCTGCCCTGGAAATAGGTTCAACTTTTCTAGATTCCACATATATGCGTTAATACACAATATTTGTTTTTCTCTTTCTGACTTACTTCACTCTGTATGACAGACCCTGGGTCCATCCACGTCTCTACAAATGACCCCATTTCCTTTCTTTTTATGGCTGAGTAATATTCCATTGTATATATGTGCCACATCTTCTTTATCCATTCCTCTGTCGAGGGACATCTAGGTTGCTTCCCTGTCCTGGCTGTTGTCAGTAGTGCTGCAGTGAACGCTGGGGTACATGTGTCTTTTTGAATTATGGTTTTCTCAGGGTATCTGCCCACCATCTCAGCAGAAGTGGTGGGAATGAGACCATATGTAGATGTGTCCTGAATTCGTTGCCTCTCTTTCTGGCGCTCTGGTCCTGGAACTCCTAGAACCCATGTCATGGACCTGGAAAGCCCTGGTCGTCTCTGCCAGCCGGTCCTCCACTTAACTCCTGGCCCTTCTGCAGCGTGGGGACAGACTGGACCGGTCTCCCAGGCTCTGGGGCACTCACCTGCCCTCTCCTCTGCACACAGAGGGTCAGCTTGGGGGCTTTTCTGGCTGTCTCCTCGGGGGTTCCTTCCTACATGAACAGAACAGCCATTGGGTATCATACCATTTTAGCCCAGTTCACTTGTTACAGAACAAAGGTTTGCAGGAGTTTTCTGCTGTGTTATAGCAGGAAGTAAATCTGTAGACTGTCACGTGCTTTTAGACAGTCTTCCTGGAGGTGTTTCCCTTGATAAATTTTTATCTTTCACAAACAGGCATGCTATGCTGATCTCATGTCTCCTCTTGAACCCGTTTTATTTTAAATTTGTGACACTGTTAGCTGCTTTTATGTGTTCTGTGTGTCCTTTAAGCATGTGGGACGGCTATATATTTAGGATGCAGCTTCCTGTGGCTTTTTCGCTAGTCTCATCTCGCTTTGTGTCCAGTGGTGTTTCTTGCCTCCTGTTGACAACTGTTTGATGACTTTGCTGAAGTAAATCTAATTCAAGGTGACTTTGAGAGGTTAATAGAAGACTAAGTTCATGAAAAGGAGAAGGTGCTTTAGATTGTTGCAAAAACATGGTAAAGAAATGAAAGGGGGAAAAAGGCCCTCCTGGCTTCTAATACACTGTTTTCAAATTAGCATTTGCTCCTTTCTAATCATTTACTGACAAACTGCAAAATATGGACTCATGCCAGTTTCATGAACCTCCTGACTAGTTCACAGGTGGATTTTGAAGTTAAAGACTCTAAAACATTACAGGCTTTCTTTCGTAAGAAAGGCTGAAAGAAAGCTGATCTCGCACGTTCATCAGTGTTTTGTTTTAAAGTTTGGCTCTGTGATGAGGGCACCTGCTCCTTCGGTCCCTTCTTTTGTTCCTAAACCTCGTCGCTGCGCTTTCTTCTCTTATTGTGCTTGTGGTGGCGGGTAGGTGAAGAACAGTAGAAGATGGAGTGATGATTGTTATATGCACTCTTTTTTAAAAAAAAATAGTGGAGCATAGTTGATTAACAATGTTGAGTTGGTTTCAGGCGTACAGCAGAGTCATTCAGTTATACATATACATGTATCTATTCTTTTTCAAATTATTTTCCCATTTAGGTTATTACAGAATATTGAGCAGCATTCCCTGTGCTATATAGTAGGTCCTTGTTGGTTATTTTAAATATAGCAGTGTGTACATGTACATATTCACTGTTTTTAAGCATTTAATACAGAATATATTAATAGATGGTGTTTCTATCTAAGTTACTGTCAAAACTAAACTATTTCTCTTTCAACTAATCCAGTAAAATCAATCTTTCAGAGTTTATCATGAATTTTTGCTAAAACCTTAAATTCTGCAGGGTTAATTAAAGTTGGATGTCTTTAGTGGGGAGGGAAGTTATGCATTGCAACAGATCAGTCCAGAACCATTCTTAGAGATGGTAGGACTTCTACCAGCTGGGTTAGCAAAATGCAGTTAGTAGGGGCCACCACAGTTTCATAGTATTTCCTAATCTGTGGCCAGAATTGGCCAGTTAAAGTAGCATGAGGTCCTTGCTGATTCCCTTAGGTTTGCTGTTATCTTGTTTAGGAAGGGAAAAGGAAAAAAAAAATTATTAAATTAAAAACAAATTGATTACTTATGTAGTAAAATTTTTTTTTTATTTCAATGAAGGAGTAAACTTCTGAAACATTTTTACCTCTGATCCTGTTTTTTCTTTTTTCTTGAGATAAAATTCACATACCATAAATCCACCTTTCGTTTTTTATTTATTTTTAAAATTTATTTATTTTTGAAATCCACCTTTTAAAAGTGTACAGCCTAGTAGATTTTAGTGTATTCGCAAGGTTGTGGAAGCATCACTTTGATCAGCCCCCAAAGAGCCCCATTCCCAGCCCCTGATTCCTCCACACCTCAGCTCTGGCAAGTGCCAATCTACTTTTTTGCCCTGACCCCATTTTAATACATATCAGGGGTATTTATTCTGGTAACTTTGTAAAAGCTCTCCATGTGAGTGGCTTTTAGTAAATTAAGTCTAAGTGGAATAGCCAGGGCTTTGAAAAAGCAGGCCAGAGGATCGGCGATTCTGTGAGTTGCCTGTTAGCTTAAGATCTCTAAGAAACCAGTGTGGACTCCTTGAGCTTCAGTATTTCTGATCCTGTCTCATCTCCGGGTCCCCTAAAAAGTAGTCCTTTTGAATGAGGTGAGTGACGTGTCTAACTTCATGCATGACGTCAGAGGAGGGGCAGTAAAAGAAGTGTCCTGTAGTTTATGTTTAATGTTATATCTATAAAAGTAGGTATTTATGGTATACATATTCAGTGTATTACGTATTTAATGTTGTGCGTGTGTGTACGTTATATATATATATTACGTGTGTGTATATAATGTCAACCACTTCATGTGGTTCCTGTGCCACTAGGGTTTGGTCTGGGCCGTGAAAGAACTCACAGGCAGCCACCAGAATTAAGAACACCTTTTTTCCCTTAACTTTTTATCATGGAACATTTCAACGTCCCAAAGGAGAGAGAATAGTATAGAAAACTGCCGTGAATCCATGGGTCACCTCAATCATCTTGTTTCATCTGTATTCCTTGAAAGGCTTTAAAAAAACCTCAATATACCACTAATAGACATAAAAATGAATAATAACTCTGATATATAAAACGCTAATCAGTATTCATATTTCCGTTTGTCTTGTCATTTGTTTTTACAGGATGTATACTGCAGTTGGTTGATGTGTCTGATGTATCTTTTAATCTTCAGCTTCCTCCTCCTCATTCTTTTTGTGTCACTCCTGTATGTTTATTAAATGAGGAAACAGTGTTTTCCTGTAGATTTCCCTACATTTTGCTGGTTGCGTCCCTGGGGGGTCATGTCGCATGTTCCCCTTGCCCCGTGTTTCCTGTGAGCTAGGAGCTGGATCTTGACGCTTGGTTTTGCAGGGAAATAGGCAGAAAATTTTAATGGGTAGTGTTGGGTGGTTCTACTGCGAGTTTTATTGGGAGAGTCTGGTTGTCTCTCTTTTATGACGTTATGATAATTATTGCTTCGATGTAATATTTTTTTAGGGTTACAAAATAGTGATAATCTAATTATATCCTTTTTTCTTCATTTGTCAACTTGGGTATTCCATAAAGAGAAACGTCCCAATCAGCTTCTTGGTTTCCCTGAGAACACAGTTCATACAGGAAAGGAGGAAAAACGATTGATGCTTGTCCTTTATTAGTTTTCAGACACATCATTAGTCATTTCAGACTAATAAAAAAACCATTGAGTTTTTTTTTAAGTGACATTTTGAGCTCATGATTTTAAATATATTTGACGTGTTTCAATTGTACATTTTTTTTTTTTTTTTTTTTCAGCCACACGGCTTGGCTTGTGGGTTCTTAGTTCCCCGACCAGGGACTGAACCCAGGCAGTGAAAGTGCTGAGTCCTGACCACTGGACCGCCAGGGAATTCCCCCACTGTACATTTCTTTTCCTCTTGCGAAGTTAAAATGTTCCCATCCTTTGGCCAGTGAGAGCCTCTTCAGATGGGCTCCTGAACCCAAGTACCACAGTATTACAGCTTCTCTCTCTGCTGATATTACAGGATATTTCAGGCCCATCTTGTCTGTTTCCTGCTCCATGTCTGCAATCAGCCACTTCTCTAAAGCGCCCTGGTTCTTTTGCATGGGGAATGGTGCAGGGTGCTGGGGAAGCTTGCTGTTCTGGGTGGGTCACTGTTTCTGAGCCTCTTCAGTGGACACATTTAGGAAATCTGTATATATATGTTTTCTAAGTGAGAAAAGATATCATGGCTTCATACTAAAGTTTCCAATTCAAATATAGAATTACAGATATTTTATTTTTCTTTGATTTTATATCTGCATCTCCTTTTCTCTTCCTTTTGCTAAAAATCTTAGTGCCTACCCTCATCAACCTAATTA